TCTTGCTTTGAGAACTCAAGGAAGAGAAGTGCGGACCCACTTATCTCGGGTCCGCTTGACCTCGCACCATTAGGGGGGACGTGGGTTCAATTAGGCAGTCGTGTCAGACGGTGAGAGGACGATATAGTTATAGGGGATCGTCGCCGTAGATGACGATAGCAGACGAATCGGGCGAGCGAAGCCCATCTGTTGCTGAGTAACAGATTATATAGTCGTTTTACGCAACGTCGTAGTTGATGGCAGTTGCATCGTTCGAGAAGCCGGCAATTAGCGAGGGTACGACAGAATGCAGATGCTACCGAAGCTGAGGAATAGCTATGTCGACGCAATAGTGACAGTATAAGCAGTAGTCAGAAGGTGCTAGTGCATATTCGAATTCTATCCCAGCTCCAAGAGATCAAATATTAGCCTATACTTTCTCCTATTCCCTTTGTCTGACATCTGGGTAGTGACGTTTTCTGAATAACTTTTATTCTCAGCGTGCAATATGCAAGCTCATTACGCGTAGGCGGAGATGGCGTAGTGGCAATTGGCGCACTATCTCACACGCATGGTCAGGGGTTCGAATCCCAAATCTATATCCGCCTAGGCCAACCGAGTCTTCCATCCTTCCGGGGTCGCTCACTTGGTACCAACATTACGCCACTACGATTCTGAGTGGAAGTCCAGTGCGGGGGCGCATTCCTCAGACGAAATAGAATGCCAAAAGCTTCATCGTTTTTTTATCCTTTGCGCTTGATTCTTGCTATATCTTGTGTATTAATAGGCGTATGGAGAATTAGGGGTTTTGAGAATTGATCCTCCGTTCAAGCTGGTTATTTATTCTTTAAGGTGTTCTAGTGACAATTCTTTTTGCACAAATTTCTTATTCAATTTGCAATTCATGCCATTTTTCTGAGACATAGTCGTTGATGACGGTAGCGGAGGCCGCAATCCTAGCGGTAACGAGGTATATACTAGAGCACGGCAGAACAGCGTCCAACAGCAACCGAAAGCATGCAAGATGCCGGATCCACTGCGCATTTTATAATATGGTGGATATCCGCGATTAGTGGTTACGAGTTTTGCTTTGATATTAGAGTCCTTGCAGGGCACGGAACTAGTGTGGGAGTAGTCGCACGGCGACTTCCAACTACTGAGTGGTCTGATGTGCCATTCCCGAACAGCATATCCATGGTTAGTTTTGTTTCACGATTTTCTATAATGAGTAGTGAGTAGCTCAACCATCTCGAGAAACAACTACACTGGTGTGCAAAACTTAGGGACGAGATGGATATTGTAACATAAAACATTGAGGACTGGGTGGAAATAAATGAAAGTGTGGGATTATATTGCCAGACCTATGACCGTTATGCACAGGGAGTTGGACATCCCTTGGTGGAGGAATAGTTCAAGTAAAGCGAGAAATATGGCTACCCGCCAAATCGAGGGAGCTGTATCGAGGTACGAATAATTTTTTTTTTGTCAATCAGCTAGTTGCTACCAAGTAGTGTGGTGTTATCCTTCTATACATCATATCCCGCTGACATCGTCTGGATAACCTGGCACGAGGAAGGATCATAGAGAAACTCGAAAAAGGTCTAACCGTGACGAGTGCAGCTCAGGAACATGATATCGCTCACAGCGTTGTTTCACGTGCACGGGGAGCATTCCGGACCTCTTATACTGCTGCACGAAGGAGAGGAGGCGGACGACCAGGAACAGCTACTCTAAGGTAAGACCGCTACATTGTGCAGTAGGCAAGAAGAGATCCACGTCAGTCAGCCTCTTTGATTGCAATGTCATTTGACAGCATTTCAAAGCAAGCCATCCCACGCACTACAGTGGCACGACGATTGCACGGTGGTGGTCTCTTCGCCCGACGACCACCACGTAGGGTTCCTTTGACCCTCGCGAATCGGCGAGACGGTTTAGGGTGGTGCCAGGAGCATAGCGAACGGACCGATGAGAACTGAGGCCGCTTGCTTTTCTCGGATGAGAGCAGATTCAGTCTGAGCAGTGATTCTGGACGCACCCTTATGGCCAGAGCTGGGGACACGCACTTCTCTCAGAAACGTTGTGGAACTTGATCGTTCTGGTGGTCGAGGTGTTATGGTATGTGGAGGCATCATGCTTCGTAACCGTACTGACCTCCAGATTTCTGAGCGTGGCACCCTCAACAGTCGGCGTTACTTTGAAAAGGAGGTCAGAACCCCTCCCGAATGTCCATCTTTTCAGGGCTGCAGTGAGCCCTGAATTCATTTTCAATAACAATGCGCGACCGCTTCGAACATCTCAGGTAAAAGAGCTCTTTACACAAGAGGTTATGCAGCGAATGGAGTGGCCTGTCTGTGCCCCCGACCTGAATCCCATGGAGCACGTGTAGGATGCACTGGGTAGAGGCATTACAGCACGTCCAAACGCACCACATACCATCCGGTAATTGTCAGTTGCGCTGATAAAGGAGTGGAATGCCCTACCATAAAATTCATTTCCAACATCGTAGAAAGTATGGGATCGCATTGCAGAGCATTTACTGCTGTCCTTGGTAATCACATACCCTGTTAGGAACCGTGTCGCATTTTTTTTGAGGTACTAAGATAAGTTGTGAGGAACTATGTGTAATCGATACCTTTCAATAAAAATGCCTTATTTGCCAGTCCTATTTCGATTTTCTGCCAGTTACTTCCTGTGCAGTACCGTAATGATCCTCTACTCGTACGGTATAAATTTCACCGAGCTCTGTAGTCTGGCAGAGGTTCAGTGATCGAAAGTTGCTTTTGTTCCTAAGTTTTGCACACCAGTGTATTAGGTTGATGCATAATTATTGCGGATTTTTCAACAATTTTTATTTAACGAAACGATAAAAATATGAACAAAAACATGTTCAAATAATTACTCCGGAACTTATCCATTTACGTCAAGCACTGCTTCCCACTGGGATGTGGACGTTAGTCTCGATTGACATTACTTCGCGCCGAGGTGCGAAGTGACCTCAATCGTAACTATCCTGATCTTAATTACGCGCCTCCCCTTATCGTAACTAATCTCATCTTACTTATGAGGGTGTTGGCGAATGATGAAAATGATGAGAAAATGAAACTTAAAGAAAATTAGTTTTTCAACGTAAAACTTCCATGGTCTTTGGTTTGAAAAGTTTTATTACCATGCAAGATGATAGAAAATTCAAAGAAAAAATTCCAGTAAAACGTAAAGAAGCCTAATTTTTCCAGTAGGGATTATCTTGGAAATAATAATTGAACAACTCAGATAGTTTTGTTCGTAACGAATTTGGACATCTTTATACATGTGATATGGGTTGAAGCGAAAAAAAGACCAAAAGCATGTTTTTTACATCTTACACGAATTTCATTTTTATGAATATCGAGTTTTCTATTCTATATGTAATAAAACTCTGAACCGAAGACCATGAGAATTTTGCGTTGAAACACTAATTTTCTTGCAGTTTCATTTTCTCATCATTCGCCATCACTCTCATAAGTAGAGGTTAGTCGCGATCGAGGGGAGGCGCGTAATTAAGATAAGGTTAGTCACGATTGAGATCACTTCGCACATCGTCGTGAAGTAATGTCAGTCGAGACTAACGTCGCACGCCCCTTCCCACTGGCGAGATGGTCAGATTCCAAAAGCAAAGAAGTCCTTGAGGGCGATCTACGCCTTGACACCGGCCATCAAGTCATCCAAATCAACGTAACTTCCAATTCCTAGCCATTTTTTTCAGCGAACGGTCGACGAGATAATCCATAGAAGTTTATGCTGGTGAATATGGCAGATTTAGGAGCAGTGTCGTGGTAAACCACGACTTTCTACTTTAACACGCTATACAGTAGCGCTCAAAACTCTTCGGTGAAATGGTTTTTCAGCCGTACTTTTCAGTCGTAACTCCTTTCCTACTAGATCTATTCATGCGAAATTTCTATATTTGGGGCGTGGGCATATTGTGAATATTTCCACTATTAACCTGCAATCTGATCATGTTCCATACATTCCAAAGAACAAGAACTCAAAATCGACTGAAAATACAGATGATGGTCCTTCTAGAATCTCTTTCCTTTTTGTCATGTCTAAAGTGTACGAGCGGTAATGCCGAACACAATAGATGAGAAAAACGCACATAAGGTGCAAATAAGTGCAGACGTCAACAACTTTAGTTTTAGCAGAATCTGCTACCGCCACAAACACCTTGCTCTATCTGTGGATATTGAGGCTTGCAGTCAAATAGTGTTGGGTAGGATGAAGTATGCTCTAGTTAAACATATCAAAATTTTGCGCGATTTGGTATACTAAGAAAAAAGTTATGAACGAAAAAGCCTCAAAGCATCTCACCGAAGGCTTTGAGCGCTACTGTATGCAGTTAACTTCTCATTTAGCTGGAATGTCGAATAGTCACGTCTTCTTAGACTGGCATCTGACGTTAGTTTTTGTACGACATCTTTCAGTACTGTAACATCTGGAATAATTGCTACCCGTATATAAGCCAAGCAGTGTATTGCTCAGTATCCAGTAAATCTACCACTGAACGACCGTAGCAAGCAGATGCCATTCCTTGGTTGGCTTTGGCTGGTTGTTCCATTGCCAAAAAGTTACTGAGATCGCGGAATGACTCTGCCGCCTTCCAACATTTCTCAAAGTCGTAGAACCTAATTTCGCGAATATGCGGATGATTTCTAAGTATATTTTTTTCTGTAGAGGAAATAAAGCAGACCATTTCTAAAAAAACCCGAAGAAGAACTAAAAACTCAATACTCAAATTCTATCGAGAGAAAAAAAGCCGCGAAAAAATCCGCAATAATTATGCATCAACCTAATAGATACGACTATTCTACGTATTTAGTATCTATCAATTTAACGGCATAAATTTCTCACCTAGTTGATGGACATAACTTTGTCATGTGAACATTAAAAGATTTCGAAAAACCCCGTTTTTCATTCTTTTGGTAATTTGATACTCCCTCCATCAAATCTGTTCTCGTTCAGTTTTTCTAATTTTGTTTTTCTAGTTTTGTGTTCCTCATGGATGGAGTCTCGCTCAAAAGCGTCTTGACCCCACTTTTTTCGTGTGTACTCTTACCGACGTTATGGGAGTTCACCAATACGCCTGCTGTCTTCAGGTACCAGTCTAATACCTCTTATATTTCAATATCTGGTTTAAAGCGTTCATACTCCGCCATGGCCAAATGAATCGATGGGCGACGGGCGGTGCGTGGCACCTTGTGATGTTCTACGAACGATCGGCGCAGGCGTCGAGCGTTATGCGACGTGATGGCTATCCATGCGGCTCATGCTAGGAGAAGGCTTTTTCGCTTGGATTATAAATCTCAATGTATTATCAGTCATTCCATTCCGTTTAAAGTCACGCACTGTCAAAGTACGCCTATTATATGGAAACCGAGGAGAAACAAAGAAGTACGATACAACAGGCAGCGTGTTGTCGTGCTTAACGCCAACCGCAAAACATTCCATGTAAAACCTGTGTCGGTTCATATACGAGAAGGCGAGAGGATGAACAGGTGGTGTTCAGGTGTTAAATACAGCACGAGCCAAAGGCTTGTGGTTCCTTAATCTATCTTAATGTACCCTGTCGCATGTTACCTCGTAGCGCTTGTCTCATCGGCCAGATAGCCTCCGCGAAGTATGATCACGCTCGTTGGTGTTAACTTTGTCGATGAAAAATGTTTGTTTTTTTTTCTATGCTGTTCTGAAGAACTGCAGATATATGAACCATGGATAAGTGGTCCTGGCGAAGACTGCAATGAAGTTTTCCATGGTTCTTGTTCGATGTATCAACCCCGAGTTTACGTTATTCTCTCTCGTCATCCATATTTTGATCTATTCCGAGCAAGTTCAAACTTTGAATTGTCGAGCAATATGCATTTCATAAAAAGGGGCTTTCCTTCAGACTTGTCTTCATCGTATCTTCCTTGCTATTCAGTCTGATGTAACATCGGCAGAAATGATGATTGCAACAGTTGTTAGCAAAATTTTGCTGGTTGGCAGGTGAACTGAATCTGTTCTTTTTGATGTCGTCATCGTCATAAGATTTAAAAATTTCCGAAATATTTCGTGATGGAGTTGTTCAGAACTCCTATAAGTTTCACGCTGGGGGCCGAGCGGGTCTCTGTACAGCCAATTCTTCAACGGCGGGTTCCGCTGACAGGAGATCGTGTCACCCGATTTGCTAAGTGTTTAGGTTTGTTTACAAACGTATTCAGAAAAATTAAAGAGCGCGGAGTGTTTCTGATGTAATGAGTTCTTATTCGATCGTGTAGTCCCAATCCCAATTTTTGCAGGTTGCATTCATAATTTGCTAATAGTGATTAGAGCGGTTTTGTGCGATGCAAAGATAATACTGCATAGTTCATCGCAACAACGCTTATCTGATTCAGCATATGCTATTAAATCCTTGATATTCCCGTTTGAGTATACGTTAGTTTTGATATTTTATTGTTTCCGTAAATCTTTCATAATCCAAAAGCCTATCGTTCTTTTTGTTTAGTTTACAATTATTCCCTTGCTGTCCCTTTTTTCGGATTGTTCCTTCTCTTTTCAGGTATACCTTTGTAACGGCTCTGCCTGAGTTGCTACTTGAGTATCTAGAGAGCCCCACACCCTACCTAATGGGTGTGTTGTCACAGTTCAAGGGAAAGGTTTGTTCCAGCTACCTTTTTCCATTCAAGATTCATTGATTCCTTTTTAGCTCCCAAATGTAGATGCTCTTGTAGTCGATCTAGATACCGGTGAGATTCGTTTGCCAGAAAATAGTCACCTCGCCGAACTCCCGCCACCATTCAGTGGACGTTTGGTGACACGTCTACAAAGGGTTTGTTACAGTGAAGTAGTCTCTGATACGTTTTCTGGGTCTTTCTGAGAGCAGTTCAGGTACTTAGTCCTGAGTTGGCTACCGCTGATCTAGCCATTCCGGCTGCTTTACCTCCACCTATAGACCCTCATCTGATGGTATGTGTTTTTTACATTCCTCAGACAAGTTTAGTATAGTCACTTGAGTCCAAAATATGCTGTTCATCGCTACATATGTCTTAACATTATATATGAGTCTGCAGCCTTTTTAATTGATCAGTACTCGGTTTGAATGCCTCTCGAATGTGGTGTTCGACTTTGTTTGTATGTTAGATATGTAGATCACCGCAGCTCTCGTAAACACTCGCAACTCGCTGGTCTAACTATCGCCGCACGAGGACAAGGTAGTGACACTGCGGGTCACGTAAAGGGGTATGCGAAAATTTGTACTGTCACACCTAATTAGAGGCACAGTCCACGTTAGTTTTGGGTAATCCAGATTATCATGAAAAATGGAAGGGAAGATCGAAAATAGTGCGATGAAGGTGAAGAAACTGCGTGAATCGGTGCTTCCAAAGTGAAAAGGCTTTGGAAAACCGTTAAAAAGGGGGCTGGACGAGAATGAGACCAGAAAATGAAGGAGAGTGGGACGTTCGGACAAGCTATACAATGTGTCTTACTGCGTACGTGTGGGTCCTGGTGCGAATAGCAGACTATGGTAAGCAAAAATTTATCCGTTTATAAGCATGAGCGAGTAAAAAGACCCTAGTAACAGCAGAAGTAGCTCACCTTCTTCAGCTTCTGAGAGTAGGAAATTAAATAAGGGACCGCGGCAGCAAAAAGAATAACAGGGGAAAAAAGAATGGGAGAATACATCGCCTTATCACTCGGCGATCAGCTAATTGTGTGTGGGTCCTAGAACGAATAGCTGCAATCTGTATTGTCTCGACTTTCGTCTAACGTGACATCGATCGTGGGGCGTTAACCCTTTGACGACAGCGCGCCTTTTTGCGTGTCTGGCGCGCGGGA